GAGAGAGAGAGAGGGTTACAGAGAGAGAGAGAGAGAGTTAAAGAGAGAGAGAGAGAGAGAGAGAGAGAGAGAGAGCGCGCGCGCGGGAGAGTAATTGGAGAGATGAGACAGAGAGAGAGAGAGAGAGAGAGAGGGAGAGGGGGAGAGCAAGCATGCGTGTGCGTGCGTGCGTGCGTGCGTACGTACGTGCATGCCTGCGTGCGTGCGTGCGTACGTACGTGCATGCCTGCTGGTGGAGGTATGCACTCTCCGTGAGTGACCTCTGTTTAGATGATGAAATGAAATAGGACTAAGTGTACAGTACGAGGCTTTTCCTAGTTAATCGTAAGGAAGTTATACCTTAGCTGTCATATAGTGCATGTGGTGGGTGAGCTGACGTTAATAGGGGGCTAAACATTATTTGAGTGTAAAACTCGATGTTTCTCACTTGCTCAACCCCTCAGCTCAATACGAAGTGTGACTTCTGAACAAAACGCTGGTCAAATGACTGTGATACGTATTCTTCTGGTATTATCTTACATGCATGCAGCATAGTGACAGGAGTCTATCAATATTGATAGACTCCTGATCCTATTGATAGACTCCTGATAGTGATAGGCACGTTTGATTGCCTTGATTGGCAGCAGGATTTAGCTGTGAAAAAATTTGTTGACTATCTTTATCATATAAATGTGCAATTTGGTAGATGCCATAGATATCTTATGTCATTCTTCTGGGACATCCTGGGGTAAGAATTAGGAAGAATTAAAGGTTTTTAAGTAATTTCTTTGTCATTTATATAGGTTTGACACTGATGAATACCAAACCGTCCCTCATTTCATATTTGGTGACTTCAACTTCAGGTTGGATGCTCAGGCAGTCGTGCAGGTACGTTGATGATGGTATGCATTTATAACACACACACATGCCCTTATGCCCTCGAATAAGTATGGCAGATTTATCCCTGGGATAACATATCATCGTGCCAGAACATGTTTCAGGGTTGTGGAGCATGATATCTGTGTGTCATGGCCACGTACAAGAACATATGCCATGTCTTACTGGCTGTGGCAACTCTTGCTGCTGCCAGACATTTGCTGACTTGCTAGTGATACGGACCTAACACACATTCCTCCAGCCTTGCGACCCACGTGCTGACAGCAAGCATATTTCCTGTATCCTTGACATTATAAAACTGCTGCCAGGCTCATGTGCATCTAACTCTGACGTCATGTCAACCGGTTCTGTCATTCCAAAGGTGTTATCCATGCTGAAAAATTAGACGTGTGTCAGGACTGTCAACAAATATTAGGCAAGCAGTGTAGGACCTTCATAACTCAGTGGTCATGACCATAACTAAATAGGTGTTGTGTAGCACAGCCTAGAATCACGTTGGTGCAACTAACATGCAAACTTTAAATGTATTCCTGGAATATATCATTCTATATGTTTCGTGAAGGTTCTTTGACTAGGTTAATTATGATCAAATTCAAAGGCGATTGAAGTAAACAAGAATGTACGTAGCCTACCACCATCACAAAACCATAAACATGCAATAATATGTAATGTACATAGTCGCAATTGCCATTGCCCTTAGACAACTTTTACCGTCTGGTAGTCATTGCCACTAGGCGGCAGCACCAATCAATACCCTAGCGTGTAGCAATTCCTATACCTCATTAACGCTGAGGTAAAAATGAGTAAAAATGAGCTCAAGAGGATCATGTACACGGAAAAAGGCTATGTCTCCCGCGGTACTGCCGGAACGTACCCCGGGGAACGTACCCTGGTACTATATCTAATATGCCGGACCGTACCTCGCCTACTCCACTAACTAGTCTAGGGAGTCGCCTACGCCTACTCCCTAACCCTAACCCTAACTCTAACCCTAACCCTAACCCTAACCATATCAAATAGTGACCAGGGTACGTTCCGGCAGTACCCTGGGGGACATAGACCCTATGAGCCTTATTAACGGCGCTTGACAAACATTTACAGGTTATGAGTTTTTACGAGAGGCAAAGCATGTGTACCAAAATATGATCGGTTTCTAAAGACAAAGTACAATTGCTAAAGTTCAATTCTTAACTTAGAAAAACACTAAATAAACATTTCACGGAACGGTCCAAGGCACCATCAAAAATGGTTATGGGTATTGGGTTGCTGATGAAATTTAGCTGTGACAAACACTATATAATACCTTCCCTTACCCTAATACAGAACTTTGGCACCAGCGCAGGGGCGTGTACAAGGGTGGTCCAGGGGGTCCGGACCCCCTCGCCCCTGCTCGCGCAGATCGAAAACGCATCTGAGGGGGTCTGATTTCAAAAAATTTCTCCCCAGACCCCCCCTTCGCGTGCTCGCAACTTTCGGTTACGGTTAGACCCCCCTGCTACAAATCCTGTACACGCCCCTGCAGCGTAATAAAGTTTCATATAGATGACTACTGTTAATATATAATAATATATAATATAATACAATAATAACATTTATTTTGAGTTTAAAAATTCTTTCTTGCGTTGCTAAATCTCGGTTGCAGTGTGGTATTGCTGCAAATGCTCAACACCAGTAAACGTGTCAATAGTTTACAAAATTGTGCTCTTGATTTTCAGAGACTCATGGTACAATATGCTGGTGTACGTGATTACTGATGATAATTGTAATGCTCTTGTGTTTCAGAGACTCACAGTGCAGACTACGCCAGTGTATGTCAAGACGAGTAAAAATGAGCTCAAGAGGATCATGTACACGGAAAAAGGCCATGACGACAAAGTTGTGCTGACCATTGAGAAAAAGCTGTTTGATCATGGAGATAAGCACTCAGAGGCATTCGTAGTTGACAATGGCAAATGGGTGAGTGGTCACTGAAGGTGTACCTGCTACAGATACACAATTATGAGCACCCCACACACAGTTGGATTATGGTATGCCCACATGATCAAAAAATGTTTAGAGAGCAATAGAGAATGGGTGTCTCCATTGGATTTTGGTGTAGCGATGACAACACATTGTTCACGGGAGCGTGAGAGCATGTAGTGGTTGCGAGCTATGAGGCGGCTGTAATAGAGCCCTAAGAAATTTTCATTGTAAAACAGCATTTCAGCCTGATGTCTCGGGGGTTTCAAATAATTGATTTACATCAAATCTGAATGCATTTCAGCTAGCAGACTTTGACAACGAGCTGGAAGAATTCCAGGACAGGCTGACGGAGTATCCACATGACTTCCCCCCTAGGTAATTATGCTACCATATTGCTTCCAATCCTACTTGTGACATTCTCTCACTTCTGACCAAGTGACAATTTATCTTAACTACACTTTCAAGTTTTATAAAATGAACAAATCATAATAGTACAGACAATACTAGTGTTAATATCGGAAATATAAAATATTTGTGCGCCTCACATATGCCCTTGCTTTATGAGCAGTTACCCATATGTCGAGGATGTCAATGATGGGCTGGGATATATGAAGACACGGTTGCCTGGCTGGTGTGATCGAGTGCTCTTCTCTCACACGGCACGGGCCCTCATAGACCAGGTAAACAAATATGTACAATTCTTAATTATTTTCACAGATATTTTAATATTTACCCTGTGTGATAGCATATATAATCAAGCAGCACAGTAGATCAGTACTCTCAGATCAAGTAACAAATTGTATCAGTGCTGAGGGCAAGGGGAATGGAACAAAAAAATTTTGAAGGCTTGAACCTCCATGTACCCGACATTGCCACACTATACACGAACTTTGCGCTTGCCTACTCCTAGCAGGAGACTGTACGGCTAGAAGCCATCCACACAGCCGGTCACCGCTTCATGGCTTCCTTCAAACGAACCTCACTTGGCAGTTTTTGATTTTCGTGTCTCTGAGCAATCAAAATTTACTACGTGGAATACATGGAAATTGTGTAATGTGCTATCTACCCGCACATGTGAATTCCTGTGTCCGGCCAAAATGCTTGTGTGTTTGAAGGTGATATGAGTTAATAATGTTACGTGAAGTTGTGTTTTTTTCTGGTATTTCAGAATCACAAGCCATTGTACAGTGTGATTGGTGCTCAAGTGTGTATGGGAGATCACAAGGTGAAACATAGGCTGTGGATTACCGTTTGAATGGCATGCCAATGTCTTACAACAGTCTACATTTTGTGTTGTTAAGCTCTCAGAAGATTTATCATTTCTGACTAGTGCTAGCCACTACAGATTAATTATAAACTGTTTCTTTAAAGATTTTTGCTCACAATCTGACCTGATCTGTGGCGTATGGTATCCAGATGGTTGTTTGATAAGCTAAAGGAAATGGTTGGGCTCGTGTTGAGGTAATACAGTAATTAACGACAAAGACATAATGACGATGATGAGCTATGCAGCTGTAACTGAGTGATGGCGAGCATAATCTCATCCTTCGCGCTTTCCTAACGATTCGTACAGCATACGTCGCATCACCGTGGTAACCCCCGCTCGTCTGCTTTCTCTTCACACAGCCGGTAATCCTATCGTTCTCGCTGGCGTGCGGAGCGCCCCCAGGTGAGAAGCTGCTGCATGATCGCATGTCCATGCTGCGCCAGTACTCCGTGCCCCTGCCCCCAAAGCCGAACCGCAACCGCCGGCCGAGCGAGATCACGGTTAACGGCCGCGCGTGCACGGTGTCGGTGATGGACGTGCACTCAAACTCCTTCCTGCTGCTGCCGCAAGTCGATCTCGCCGCCGCGTTCCGCACGTCGTTCGACAACGCCGAGCAGAAGCCGAAGAAGAATCAGCGGCGGCGGCGTTTCGGCACGGGCGAAAGCGGCGGGCACAGCTCCGGTTCGGAGACGGAGGACGAGGTCCCCGACACCGAGCTTTTCTTCACTAAGAGCCTCCACGAGCTGATCCTGCCGTTGGCACGTAGCAGCAAGGCGGCGGCGGCGGCGGCGGATAACGGGGCGGGGGCTGGTGGGCGCGGCATGGAGGAGAAGAAGGCCACGGCCGGCTCAGACGTGCATGGTGGACTGTGTGGTTCATGCCGCATCCTGTAGAGCTCTTCCCTGCGTGTGCCCTGATAGACTGCTGCATGGTACCTGATTTTTATTTGCGTGACGGTTAGTTAGAAATTCGCGCGCGCGTGCCGTGCCGTGTATAGCTGCCGAGGTGCCACGTGCGCCAAACACTCAACTCCTACCGGAACAACAACTACGCCACCTAGTGGCGCAGCAACTACACAGCCTTCCACAGCAATAATGGCTAACCTAATAATAATGAAAAGTAGGAGGTCTTCATTTGGGTGGGGTAGTTTCGCCCCTTTAACATTAATATGCATGTGAATGATATAATATCAAAGTAATATGCGGTTCATATATCGAGAAAAGTGTTCTTCAGCTAGAAGTTCTGCGCTGTAGGCCTCGGCAGCAATGCATGGCACGATTTGGCAGTGTAGCGTTAATGCTGCCCTGCTATACAGTGAACAATGCATGTACTAATGCTGAAATCTCGTTCTTGCCTCCTTAGACACAGGATTGTGCATATAGCAGCCGAGGATTTGTCACTGTGGACCAGACATAGCGCTGTGAGGTTTTGTTAGACGTGCACTACATTTGTTTTTGTTTTCGTTTACAGTTTGAGAGCACATTATCTCACAACTTTCTTTTAACACTTGTGTCTTCTGCGCCTTTTCATTAGCCTTCTCATCTCGAGGTGGCAGTTTACATTCACATTCATTGATAATTGTGCAAATCATATTTCCAAGTTAGAGGATGAGACTTAAATGATACTAGAGGTCACAGGCAAAACTACCTGAAAGTAGTAGGAATGCAGGATATAAAGAGCCAAAATTAATACAAGAGTCATTGAGAGTCATAAGTTTGTCTATTAAAGGCCAGGCTTTGGGGCAGAGATTAGAG